TGGCTGGCTGGCTGGCTGGCTGGCTGGCTTATACGTCCTGTTGTCACATTTGGCTATCTCAAAAATCCTGGATCTCTGATAGTAGACGCTTTGTGAAAGGACTGATGGTTCTTAGTTCAGAGTAAGCATTAGTAGCTCGTGTGGAAGACGTGATGAATGTGTAATTTGCTTTTTTTTTATACCGCACATTGCTTACTTTCTTTGAGGTCACAATTGTAGACATTCTAACAATCCACAATCCACAATCACATTTTCGCAAAATTTCACTTCTCTCCCCTCCCAGTTGCGTTAGTCGCCAACTAGTCGTGGGCTGTAGAATCAATTGTCTCTGTGATCCTGCCACAAATGGCATGGGGCTCTAAACAACGATTCCTAACGCACGGGATTCGACCGACTCGTGGTCAACTCAACCTGAAACTGCCAATCTCAACGAGTCGGCGGAGTGGGGAATCACGAGGGATTTTGTGACAACAACTGTCTATCTTTTGTCACTTTTCACTCATTTCACTCTCGGCCCGGCTAGCCAGTCACTGGTTGCTCCAGCCACTGTCTCCGTCATACAAAGTTGCGAGTCTAATATAGTTGGTTTTTTGAGTAGGTTCTCGAGACTAACAGTAAATAAGATTTAGTCTAAGAGATGAAGGACTGGTAGTTGAATTTTCCCACAATCAAATGAGTTCAGCTGACGCTTACATTGAATTTCGCATAGTTTTGTTTTCTCAAAAACTTTTCTCATCAATGCTCAAGTCAACTGCACTTTCAACCTCTCTTAGGTCTTATCAACACCTTCAACGCGAGTTGAACCATGTAGTCTCGTCACGATACCCACTACGTCACAGGGCAGATGTGAATTTTATGTCATTGGGGCAAAATTCGACTACCAGTTCTTTATCACCTTAAACGAAATGGTGTGAACGCACCTCAAAAACCAGACCGTATCAGCTGTGAACGAGAACCTAGTCAGTCTGGAATGGGTTGATGTGATCCAACGACTGGGGCTATGATTAAGCCTCACCTGCAACGGGATTCGAGTCCCTGTCCTATCATCAAAGTGGTGATATATTACCGCTCCTGGAGGCAGATTCGACTGTTAAAGCAAACCAGACATCTACAAATTCACATTTATTATGGACTTGTTGACAAGGCATATACACAAAGTTGCCCACATCATATGCCAATAGGGTTCGAAGCTATTGGGGACG